CCGAATTATAATTCTTAAAATAAACTATTCTATTTATAAATACCTTAAAGTTGAAGAGTAATAATACTCTTCCATAATTCTTATACCTGAATAGCACCATCGTCTCAATGCATTATGATACCAAGAGCTTATGGTTAAGCATAATGTAATCAATGACTATAGGGAAGTATCATCTATTGCATATGTGTCCCTCTCTGATTCTCATTATTTCGCGGGAAGTATGAAAGTATGTAATCTTTTGGGAGCTGAAGCTTGGAGCAGTAATATGTTGTGTAGTATGATTGCTTCAGAAAATACAGAATCTGGTAAGTACCCAGGAGCTTATATTATTACACCGATAAAGGATCTCGAAAACAAATGTTCAGTAACAGGTTTAGATTTTGCCTCCCTATACCCAAGTCTTATGATGACTTACAACCTTTCACCAGATAAGATTATACTATCTCGTGGAGATGTGATAAATGCATTATGTAGTGGAAAGAAACTTCACAAGATTGAGTTTTCATTTAATGGTCGAACTATAGAAGCTTGGTCTATTCGTCACAATAATATACCTGAAGAAAAGGGTTTATATGCCAGAATGTTAGAAAACCTATTTGATAAATGAAAGGAAATGAAAAAATGCCTTAATGAGTTGGATGAGAAAAGTTTCGAATATAGTTGCTTAAACTCAAAACAAAAGGCAGTAAAATTATATATGAATACATTTTATGGTGAAGCGGTTAATAATATCTCTCCATTCTATCAACTTCAGTTAGTGGGTGGAGTTACTTCTGCTGGACAACGTAATATTAAATTTGTTAGAAAATTCATTGAGAATAAAGGGTTTGACATCAAATATAGAGATACTGATTCTTTATACCTCACATGCCCAGGAGAGTGTTTTCAGGAATGTGATCAAATATATAAATTGGATCAACTCTCACGAGAAGAGTACTGGAGAGAAATGGTAAAAATCTCTATGGGAGTAATGAAGAACCTCCGTAACGATGTAAATACTGAGCTGGAAAAGAATAATGGAACACCTTACCTCAATATGACATACGAGGAGATCTTATTTCCCATGGTATTTACAGGAAAGAAAAAATACTATGGCCTGAAGCATAAAGATAAGCCAAACTTTAATCTGGGTAAACTTTTCATTAGAGGGGTGAATGTTGTGAAAAGAGGTCAATCTAAGCTCTTCCGTAATGTAGGTGAGGAGATTATTGATAGAACTTTGAAAGTCGATAATGAGGAAATGATGCATCAGATTGTTGAAAAAGTTCTTTGGGAAAATGTAGAAAAACTTTTCAAGTTAGATTATGATGAATTTATTCAGACATGTATATGGAGACCTAAAAAGGAGGATAAGCAGGAAAATATTTCTGTAGAATGGTTTGTTTTACAAATGGGAGCTATATATGGTCACGAGGTATTGGAAAATCAACAGCTTATAAAGAAGGGTTTATCCGTTAATGAGTATTTATATAAAGTTCCCAAATTCAGTGAACAATTTAGTTATATTGTAGTAGTACCCGAAGAGATTTATGATAATTGCGGAAAAAAAAATATCACAGTAAAAAGGAGACTGTATGGAATATCCAGATGTGGTAAAAAGATTTAACAAGAAAATAAATATTGATTATTATACCGAGAGTTTATTTGCTCTTTGTGCCCATTTTATAAATTATGATGATAAATACCAACCATCACCTGAATCTCTGGCAAAAGCCTTGGATCGTAAAAAGAAATCAAAGGAGAAGAAATCGAAAAATATTAAGAATTTATTGCAAAGTAATGACTCTCTGAGTCTAGATGAAGATGAAATAGCAAATATCAAAAATATAGAGTCGCAGAAATTGGCTAAAAAATGGCTTAAAAATTATATCAAGAACTTATGTGATGCTCCGAAAAAAGATAAAACCATTATCTCCCATTTATGGAAAGATGCTACTACTCACGCTCAAAAAACATGTCCCAGTATTAGCAAAGCTGATATAACCAGATCTTCAGACGCCTCTACGAGGCATAATGACTACCTTAATGTATTAGATAAAATTGCAGATTCTATTTATTTAAAGTTATCAGATCTACTTTCAAAATTGTCTAAGCTTAATGTGGAATATAGAAATGGGATATACAAATTAATTGTGCGAGCGCAGAAATACAAGCCTGATATTACAATTTTGAAACAATATATATTTCAATATAATCTGGAATCAGAGTGTGAAGCATTAATAGATTTCTGAAATACATGGTACAAAGTAATCGGCCTTGAGATCGCACGTCTTCAAGCACTATCTATTATACAAAATAGTAAAAAAGATGATCCATCAGAAGCAGATATTGACGAAATCGTTGACTTATATTGTTAAGTATTCTTAGCTAAGATCACCACAATCTACTAAGATACCTATATATTATTAATAATATTTTTTCGTATATAAATAATATCCAAGTTCAAATAGATAATACCCGTTATCCAGCCCACATATCCCATAGCCAATTACTTTTTTTTATCAACTCTCCATTCACGTCTCAATATAACGAACCATATAATTACAATAATTAACAAGGTAAGAAATATATATGCGGATAGAGATGACATTAAAGTGCTTGCCATAACAGGAATTGCTTCTATTCCTCCCACCGAAATCTGAGGATATGATTTGATTGGAGAGAATATATTATTTTTCCGTCATGCAAGGTGCGGGTCACATTTTCCAGTATAATTGACAATATATTAGTTTTTATCGATGCATCTAGCATATTATCTTTGTTAGTCTCAATATCGACTTTTGGTGATTCAGTAATCTCATCATCAGTATGATCTGGTATAATAGCAGAGCTAGTATCAGTGGCAAAGCCACGAGTCTTTGACTTAAGACACATAGTATCAATTTTTTCAGCCTCTTCCATGTTTTTTCTGGGTACTAAATATTTACTAAGATTTTTATTAGATTCACTAACTATAGAAATATTATTAGAACTGGATATATTTTTTTCGTCATCCTCATCAATCATAGATCTAGACATATCCTCAGATTTCAGACACTCCAATTCACTAATTTTCAAGGCTAATTCAACTATCTTAGACTTGAGAAACACGATTTTGGACCCTTTCTTTGATGAGTCCTTCTGGAATAAATCTAACTTACCTTTCAATAATTTCATCTTATTCCGAAGTAATTTAATCTCTTCTGTTTTTGTAGAATTCTTAGCCTTAGACTCTGCAAGAGAGATATCTTTGTGAGCATTTTCAATCTGCAGATACCTAATCTCATCAATGAGTTCCAGATCATGGGTATGTAATTTCTGGATCTCGATATTAGCTTCTCCTAATTTCTGATTCCACTTATTTCTCTCCCGATCCCATCTCTTTTTTTCTTGATCAAAACCTTGCTCTTGTTTTATGCATCTATCCCGCAACTTACTATTATAGTTACACAATTTAGAAGAGGATTGAAGAATATGGTATATCTCTTTCTCTAGGTCTTTCACATAGGTCATACTAAATAATAAATAGTATAGTGAAAAATATAAATAAATCTTGATATTATGTAGTATATATATTAATTACTAATATTATATATACCATATGTACTATAGATATTATGCGTACTATAGATAATATACATGCTAATTTTCCATAATATAAATATTAGATACTATACATACCATTATTTATATTATAGGTACTATGTATATTAATTATCTGTATTATGGATATTATGTATAGTATAAATATTTTTTTTAAATAAATTTTATTTTTTTTATGGATAGTACATATATTATAAAAAATATTAACATGGTTAAACATATGCGATCTGATGCTATTCCATTATCATTAGAAGATTATAAATTTATTATGCAATATCATGATGCAAAATCCAAAACTGAGGTTTTAAAGGAATTAAGAAAAAAATATCTTATGACGAATGACCATTTTTATAGAATTTGGAGAGGGCAAGAAGTTGATATGATAGAATGGTATCAGTCTGTATCAGAATTAATAACATTCCAAATCAAGATTTACCTATACCAGAAATATTACCTGAATCATGCTCACCAAGTATTGGATATTCCAGCTCTGCTGATGGAGCTAGTATAACTAGAACTCCTAATCAAATCAATAAAGATATTTTACATCTAACTTCAATTGATACTTCGAACAAGCAGGTTAAAAAAAGAAAACCAAGATCTAAATCTGTTCAAATTTCTGATTCACCTAATAGCGAAGCTAGTGCCAAGGCACATATTATCAGCGGAGGTGATATATCCAATATCCTAACAAAAAAAGCAGAAAATAATGATCTATATACTTTAATCGAACGTGATTGCAAAGAAACAGAAGAAGCTGAACGTGAGTCAGAAAGAATTTTAAATCTTAGCTAATCTATCTTTGCTTTTTCTATATCAATATTGGCATAAAAGTCTTTAGGCTCATTTATATTAAGTTGCAATTTTTTATTGAGCTCAATTAATTTAGCTTTTGACTCAAGTACATCAGATAGTGATTTTTCCAGTTCCTCATAGCTCATGCATTTTTTTTTAAAGTTGGATTATCATAATCTAGGGACAGAGTTCCATTGCTTTGCAATAAGCTGAAACCCGCAGGAGCACACCACTTATCAAATGATATATCGTCATTCTTATTACTATCTATTTCCTGAGAAATTTGATCAGATACCAGAAGCTTATCATCCTGAGATGCAGTTGCACAGTTCACTTCGAGCTTGTTTTTGATTTTATGCATAGTTACCGGAATTATATACTTTTTATCATTATAGTGAATTTCCATTTTATCATTATCCCAATCTACGGTACATTTATATTTCTTGAGAAGTGGGTTCGGGTATATCAATGTCAGTTTAGGAGGTCATACAACTACAAAATCTTCATGTATAGTAAAACCTGGGGGAAATGTTATTGGGAAATTACGAGCAATGCCAATAGATTCTGTTGGAACAGTAACAACACCACTGAGATCATACTTTACCGATTTATCAATTTTCCAACCTACTCATTTAACAATGTCTTCTAATATAATTGGAAGCTCAGCCCCACTATCAAGGATCATTGCTGGAATTTTTAAGCATCTGATTTTAACTGGTATAGTTGCAATACTTGTTATCAGTTCTTTCTTTTTAACAAAGTCTATCTCCATAGGATCATCCAATGACTCTTCTTCCTTCTCTGAATCGGGTATTGCTGGAACTGGTTCTCGATAATCATTATAATCAGATTTTTTGGTAGATGGGGGTGTATGACTTGAAGAGTCGCCCCTAAAGAGTCTGGATAGGTTCTCAATCTTAGCTTTGAGTTTATCTATCCAATTCACAGGTGCGATACCGTCAAACATATCTAACACAATCTTTTGAAGAAAAGCCTGTTCGATACAAGTTAATTTATTCTGGACTTACCAGAAGTGGAAGTATCCTTCTGTTTTGTCTTGCGGGGTTTGGATTTCTTCTTGATCTTGGGTTCCTTAGGCTTTACTTTTTTTTGCTTTGACAGCATTGACAACATTAATAATTTTCATGATTTCAGTCTCAGATAAGTCATTCTCAGAATCAGATTCCGTTCCAGAATTAGATTCTGTCCCAGAGTCAGTGTTGGAGCTAGAATTGGATTCATTATCAGAGGGATTAGTATCTGAACCTGATTCAGAACTCGAATCTACAGTAACCTTATTAACCTTACCTTTCTTCTTGGATTTTCTTTTGCTAGAACAGCTAGACTTACTCTTCTTTTTATTTTTACAATTACGAGAATTATGACCTGTTTTATCATACTTTGAGCATCGATGCTGAGATGATTTTGAAACAGCATGTATTGCTCGAGCTAATTTTGCCTGGTTAATTTCCATCTGCTCAAATTGTAATCTCAAATCTTCAATCGGGTCATAGTCATAATCTTCTCCAGGTAAACTTGTATTATCTATAAATTCATCTAAAAACTGATTCATATTAAGATTGTCTGCTTTTTGTTTTCCCAGACATGGAGATTTCTTCAAAGTTTGATTTCCTTTAGCAATAGTTCCCTTCAAATCTGCTATAATTTTTTTGAAATCATTTTGCAAAATCGTGATTTGATTAGATTGATCTTCCTGAGGTTTAGAAGCGGTAGATTCCTTAGAAGCCATTGCAGATTTTATTAAGTTTTTTACCTCAGATTCAGTTATACCTGTATTGCTTAAGTATTTATCATTTCCACGAGATTTAGATGGAGTAGAAAGAGAATATTCACCTAACATTTGCTGGGTCTTTTGTCTCTCAATTTCTTCTAATTTTGATAGCAGATAAGAAATAGGATGTTCAAGTCCAATATGTCTTACTTCTAGTTTATTATCAGGAGAAAGTTCCTGAAAGAATTGTTGTCTAATCATTGTTTCCTGATTCAATGCTGAAAGTGCTGGATAAGCTAATATAACCATTCTTTTTAACTTTGCATAGAAACACTCTACAGGATCAGAGTCTTGAACAAGAGTATTAAATATTAATTGTGATTTTTCAGCTATAACTGTGGGATATGCATGTCTAAAATAACTTAATACTTGATTGATAAAAATATTTGGAGCTATAACATTACCTCCTGCATTGGCATTTGGTGCATTTGGAGCCAAGTCTGTTGGTTGCTGTTATGGTCCAAATATTCTATAAAATAGTTATTTTATAAATATTTAATCACTTTTATTATATTTAACATTTTTAATTATTTAATTTTATTAATTTAATGGTGACTGTTATTCATACTCTCCAAATTTGTTATTTGTACCCCCCATGTAAGAAAATTATCACAGATCATGTGAGCACATGATCTGTGATGCAGTTTCACTAGCTGAAAATAGAATTTGTGCCCAATTCCTGATTACATGTATCTCACAGACCAATAAGGATTTGTGAATTTTTGATCAACCCGGGAAAAACAAATCCAGGCACAGATTCTACTTTGGTGTTTCAAAGAATTATTGGTTTTAAAAGAATAATTAATTATTAATTAAGATAATTGATTTAAAAAAATAATTAATTGGAAAAGTCTTAAATAATAGTTAAGGTTTATTTATTATTAATGTGTATAAGAAACAAT